GAAACCTAATTCTACTCTCACATGGTCCCAAAGGTACAAGAAGTACAGCTCTGGAAAAGGGGAGAACAGAACCATAAAGGGAAGACATAGGATAACACTGCCCATAGTGTGTTATACAGTGAAATTACAGAAAGGATTCTTCTCATCCTGTCATGTGAAGTTGGGACATGACTTGAGTGTGCCTCACCAGCCTCACAAGCTGGAAATTACTGTAGAGCCTTTGGGGTGGGGGTGGACACTGGTATGCAATTAGGTTACTGAAGGTACTCTCCTTGGGAGGATTCTGGTTAGTTCTCACTAAGAGAGAGCAAGCCTAGCTCCTCCCCACACCTCTGTGGCTTCTGGTCGTATCATGTGATTTCCCTTCCTGAAGCACGTTCATGTCATCGGTGTTACCTATGATGTTGTGACACAGGTAAGCCCCACTAGGGATTGGCCCGTAGTGTTCTGACAATGGCCCACAAACCTCTTCAATTTGAATGTTACCTAATCTCAGATAGTTTATTACAGTAACAGAAAACAGATAGACTGCCCTGACTAATGAACGTATTTAATGATTGACAGATTCCCTCTCTATGTATAGTGGTCATGGTTCGGTGATGGTAACCATAGGAGCGCTTGGCTGCATGTATCTTTCCTTTAGAAAGACCTTATGGTCTAACGTCAAGCCTACCTATGCTGCTATTGATCACAGTATTTGTAGGAGAACATGAAACCTGATTTGTGTCAAATATGTTCCCAAAACTGAGAAAGTAAAATTCAAATGATAATGAAGTTACACAGAAAAATAATTTAGAAAATTATTAATGTGTGTTTCAATAAATTCCTTCAGTAGTAGAAGAAACACTTGACAAATAACCTAATTATGGTCATTACGTCTATTAGGACAGTGGTTCTCAACTTTCCTAACACTGCCACCCTTTAATACAGTTTTTCATGTTGTGGAGACCCCAATCATAAAATCATTTCTGTTGCTACTTTATAACTATAATTTTACCACTGTTAGAAATCATAATTTAAATATCTGTGTTTTTGATGGTCTTAGGTGATCCCTTTGAAAGGGTTGTTTTACCCCCAAAAGAGTCACAACTAATAAATTGAGAATCACTGTGTTAGAATAAATGACCCTAAAAAATCATACATAGTTAAATGAAAAGAGAAACAACCAAACAAAATTCACCAAATAATTGACAAAAAGATATCATTTTTCATTCAAGATATAGACACTTTAAAAGCCAAATAGAAAACACCAAAGAAAAATTACCAGAACCCCAAAATTATTCTTAAAGACTTGACAGTACAAGAAATGTCCAAGATGTATGGGCAACTAAAAAATATAGGAAAACAAAGATTAAAGTATCAACAAAGACAATCTTATACTATTGATGTAGCAATAATAAAAATACATTTATTGTCAATATTACTTTTAAAAGTCCCAGCCCAGAACTTTGCTCAGTCTTGCTAAGATTTGGGAGATGCTAGAATTAGACTACCATCTCTGTCTTAGAAGCTTGCCTTTCCAAGTCCTTGAGGAGTTAAGGAACCAGGCCTCTAGGAAGCTGATGCTACAGTCAGGACTAGAGGCTCCAGAACCTGGGCCTCTTGGCTCAGGCCAGGCCAGCTATCTGGGTCACACACCACTATCTTTATCCTAATAATCACACCCCTCTACATACACAGTATTGGGAATATAGTGAGTGAGGGCTGGAAGAGGCCATATAGAGTCCTCATGGTAAGTATGTGGGTTGATGCTGACTAAGAAGAAATTCTTATTTGTTATCTCAACTGATCTCATACTCTCCTTGAGTGAGATACACTGAGATTAAGTGGCTTGTCCAAGTCAACTCAGCTATAAAATTGTGAGATGGGACTCAGGACATAGACTATTAGAAATATCTCATTATCTGATTCATGTCCTTTAATTAATAACGGAGTAAGCTAAGGTTGTGGGATCACTTGTACAATAATGGCAAACATTGGGAGAGAAACAGGCTGCCTGATTTTGCTCTTACTGACCATGTTCCTGGCATCCAGTAAAATGTGTCCTTTATGAGACCACACTAAGTGTCAATACACCGCTCCATGGCCCCAGACAGATGGGCCTCATGAGCTGCTCTTGGCTCTCAGCCCTGGAGTACCCCAGCTGAAGTCACCTGCCTGCCTCTTCTACATGATTTACAGCTTGTCAGGTGGCAGGTTTCAGAGCTCCACCACAAATCTCCCTTAGACTCAAGCTCATGATTGCCTTACTCCATTTGGTATGGGGAACTCCTACTAATATCTCAAGTGACTAGAGACGATCCCATGACATTAAACCCAAAGGATTTGAATTTCAGCTCCCCATGGCTGGCTGCTGCTCAATATGTCTGGTTCTGACTTTAACAAGAACAGGGGATTTGATGCAAAAGACAGGAGGAAGAAAGGGATATTTATAAACAAGACACTTGGGCACTTTACGTGGCTAGGGCTGATGCTTTCAGATATGGACCAAGAGTGCCTTGTATACCCTGGAACTTACTCAACAGTCTCATTTCTGACCCAGCCTCTCTTCTCAGCTACCCATGTAGTGCTAGGAATGGGTCCTAGGGCTTGAGCGTGCCAGGCAAGCTCTCTTCCTCTGCCGCTGAGATACATCCTCTTCTGCCCACATTTAGAATGCATCTCGTCTGAGAAAAGGATGTGCTACTATTTATGGGTTTTGCCTGGCTACCTCTCCAGTCACTATTAGCTCTCATTGGTCACTGCTATGTGTAGCTTGGTTTTTATACTTTAATAGGCTCAGGGAACCCAAGAGAAAGTCCTGCCAGGAGTGATCTGATTGGCATGCAGAATATCTGATAGTACGACCAAAGCACAGACTGTTCATCCCGTGTGTCTGCCTTTTCACCTGGTTCCACGGTTGCCACTTCTCTGTCCCTCCCATCCTCTTGCCTGTAGGTAGTTCTCTAGAAGCATCTGTGGGTTGGCCAATGTCAACAGGGTGTTATATTTTGCTCAGGAGGATTTGGTGACTTGTAACTGTTCTTAAAATGTAGTGCTTGGATTTTCACGGTAAGCATCTACCTTCTTTACTTAAAAATAACTCTTTGGGGGCTGGGGGGAATGGCTCCCTCAGTAAAGGCTTGCCATGTAAACATGAGACTGGGCCCCGCAGTATGGTGTGATTAGGAGGTAGATTTACTGCTCCTGGACCCACAGAGTTGGCTGTTTATGGAAGCCAAAGAGGTGTAAATATGAGGACCTGAGCTGGATCTCCAGAACCCAAATGAACAAAAGATGGAGACACATATACAATCCTAGTCGTAGGGAACTGAGACAAGATAAACCCTAGGGCCAGCCAAATGTATTTGTTAAGTTCTAAGCTAGTGAGAGACACTGTCTTAAGAAACAAAGTGGATGGTTCCTTAGGAGTGACACCTGATGTTGGTCTCTAGTCTCCACACACATAACACACTTACATGCAAACACATCCCCCATAAATACAAATAAGTTTCTGCCTTGAAAATAAAAAAGAATAGGAGGAAAAGGCAGAGTACCTATAGAATCTATCCAATGGTACAGATCTCTGGGGATGTTTCCCTCATTAGATTGTAATCAATTTAAGGGTAGCAACCAAGCCTCATTTGTTCTGATATGTTCCCTGTACTTTCTTCCCCCAAATTATGTGTCTAGTAATACTTTTCCAAGACCCACTGGCTATCTTATTGGGCTAGTATGTCAATCTTATTTCTGGGATTGCCTTACCCACTCTGGGATGGCAAAGCTTCCCTCATTTCCACTAAGTTCTCCACTGGATCTGTCTATGCCTCAACTGCAGGGGCCACAGGAATAAAGACAGAAAAGACAGGTGGGCTCAAGAGGATCTCGATGTAATTTGCATGCAATTAGCATATGATTTGTGTCATCTATTCTCAAAAAGTAATTTTCAAGTTAGAGCTGCATCACTGCTTTCTTTAATGCTACCATGCACCCACCCCTCTTTCCTCACTCCTGCTCATCCGTTATCTGTCATCCACTGATTCAGATTCTTTATCTTTGAAAAGAGAGCACACAGAACTCTAGGAAGGGTGAAGCTGACCAAGGACACAGAATCTTTGAGGAACATTCTTGGAAACAGGAAAGACACAGGTCCTTGGAGATACCTAATGAAGGGGTAGGTCCTCCAGCTCAGCTATCTTCCCAGTATCAGCATCATGAGCTCTGAGACAACCTCAGAGTCTTTGACTTTCTTTTTGTCCTCCTCAGGAAAAGGATAATACCATGGCTGCTGCAGATCCATGGCTATCTGCTGATCATGAGGACACAATGGCTAGCCATGGCTAAGAACTTTGCTTGGTTTCCTTCCTCTAAGGGTCTCGTAAACTCCGTTGTCCCTGCTTACTTCTCTCCCCATAGTTCCCTATGTTCACACACATGTAGATAAAATATGAACTGAAGAACAACTCTTCCCTGGGTCTCGGAAGATAGGGCTTGCTCGATTGCTGCTTAAGCAGAAGACAGACTTCTTCTGTGGAATTTCCAACCTTTGCAAATAGTTTCAGCTTTCCAGAACTGCCCAGCTCCATCCTGCATCCAATCTCAGACACAGGACAAGATCTGATCTCCTTCCAGGGCCCCATCTCAGTCCTGTCTCACGGGAGCCAGCCCAGCCTGGAAGCCTAGATTATTTACACCTCTTTGGCTCTCATGAACAGCCAACTCTGTGGGTCCAGGAGCAGTAAATCTACCTCCTAATCACACCATACTGCGGGGCTCAGTCTAGCTCTTTCTTGCAGGGCTTTTCATCACTCATCCAGACAGGGGCTGTGGCCTAGAGAGAAGTCTCCGGGAAGAGGCTGGCCCTGGAGCTTCCCTCTGCAAACGCCACAGGGCTCCTTCCTCAGAAACCCAGCATAGGAAACTCAGTCTCTCCTTTAGGGTAGATCAACTTCTAACCAAAGATGACAGGTTATCAGAGATTTCCTAGAGTTTAGAAAGGAGAGATGTGGGCCAACACTTACCTGTCTCTCAGACATGACATACAGGTACAGCTGATTGATGGAGAAGGCCATGTCCCGGAGGATGGGGCTCCCATCTTTGAACACAGAGACCATCTCATACTGGACCCCACCATGGGGGGGACCATCAGCTCGAATCTGTAAAGAAACCAAATTGCCCTTAGTACTGACACCCAGCCTTCCCATGGACTACCTGCTTCTACTTGGAGGAGTGGCTTATAAAAGACGGTTGCTACTCCTTTAGGTCACTGCTGTGAAAAGAAGAGCTACATATATTAAGCTCTCTAATCCAATTCACATCCAGTCTCAGTAAGCAGGGTCTGAGATCTGTTCTCTCTTTCCTTCTATCCTGTTTCTCCCTCTCCTTCTCTCTCTTCCCCTTCTCCATCTCCTTTTTCTTCTTTGTTTCTCTCACTTATTTGGAGCCAGGGATTCACTATATAGAGGTCTGTCCTCTAACCTATGATCATCTATCTACCTTCAACATTTTCCAATTCTGGGATTACAGGCATGCACCATGCATCACGATGCCCGACTTTGGTCTGGGATTCCTAATAGTGTTTTATCTGTGGTTGAATGCACTTGAATGATTCTGACTGTCCCTATGCAGTTGCTTTTGTGCACATTTACATACATTTACACAATGTGTGATGTATCTGGGCAAGTGAGTGTATATATATAT